ACTAAAGAATTACAAATAATAAATGAAAAATCACAACCATCATGAGTGCTAAAAGGGAGATGTGTGTCTTAGAATAAGAGGATGTGACCCCTAATTACAGGCTCATGGAATGCTTGTATGAGGATGTGACCTAATTACAGGGTCATGGAACACTTGCAGAGCTGGAATTTGAAGGATGAGTAGAAATGTAGTAGGCAAAGAAGAAAGGGAAGCTGTGTAAAATTGTTATGTGGAGGTGGTGGTGTGGATGGGGATGGTACAAGGGTGCAAGACAAGCATCAAAATCTGAAAGGAGGTCAGTGTGTTGGAGTGGAGAATGCAAGGCAAAGTAGAGTAGAAACTCAGGTTGGAGACATAGCCATCCCAGGTGGAACCTGGCAAGTCTGCTGAACTTGTAGCTAAGGGACAGATTTCAATTCTGTAAGGTTATTTCAATTTTATTCTAGATGTACAACATGATTCTATCCAATGACTGATGGTTTTTGTAGTGATGCTCAAACTCCATGTTGTTATCACTGATGCCTAAGTTGTGGTAGTTCCAAATGAATGGAGACATCACATTTCTTTTTTTTTAATCATCATTATTATTTTTTATTTTAAAGATGTGGGGTACAATTCAGGGTTAGACATACAAATGTTCATTATGCAGCTACCCTTGTTGGACATCACATTTCTTAGTGCCAATAAATATGTGTGTAAGCCTTAGTTCAGTGTGACTACAGCAAGTAGAATTAAATTCTTTTTTTGAAAATTATGCTTTAAGTTAAATTATTTCTCATGAATTATAAATAACATGGTGTGGACTATTGAAATTCATTGCATTTTTCATGTGTATAGTAGTAAGGTGCAATGTAATTATGATATACAAATTTATGAATCCAGAGTACAGCATGTAGAATTGTTAACTTTTAAATTTAAATTTTTCTCTAACATGGGTTAGCTAATAAAAATTTTGCTTTTGCATTTATGTGACAACCTCAGGGCATGTTCCTTACTAGTATTTCAGAATTAAGAAATCCCATAACTTTACAATTGGAAAAGAATTTCATAGGTCATCTAGTTTATCTCCCCTTACTTCCACTGGACATATCATGTCTATATATATGGGCAAGGTAAGAATCTTTCCTTTAATACAAAGTTCTAGGAAAAGATTTCTGTCAAAATGTACATCTGGCATTTAATGTTTCCACAACAAACATTGCTTATTTTTGTCAAATATGAAAATGCTATATGCTGCCCTCATGCACTTGTTAAATAGTCAAAAGTTTTTATATTATTGAGGATGTTCTGGGAAACTTTAGGGTAGTTCCTCATAAGGAACTAATATTACATGTAAGAATGACTGAAGTGTAGGAGAGAATTCAGCAGCATATTAAGGACAAAAAAAATCTACTCAGCCCTTAAGGGATGGCTTCTGGAATTTTATTGCTATAAGTTAAATGATGTATAATTGTGAAAGTGTAAGGAACACGTGTAAAAAATGGAATGATAATTAGATATTAAAGAGTATTTGAAGTACAGAAAAGTTTGGGGATCAATATATATGTAGCACTTCTAAGAGGAAATACTGCATCCATAAGTATGAAGTTTTGCTCATAAGAAAGACACATCCTTATACTGTACTTCTGGAAGAGTAAACCAGGAATAGGTCAACATAACAAATAGACACACAAGCTATTCAACATAATTATTTTAGTCGCTTTGTCATAATTTGATGTTCAGATATGCCGCTCGTCAGTTCATAAAAGATTCATTGAAAATGAAACATCTGCATTAAAAAAAAAAAAGTGTAAAATGACAACAATTTAATGCATTTGCATCTTGCCACAATGTAGCATATTTTGTTTTAAAGCATCAAAAATTATTTCCCTTTCCTGTGATCTATCTCCCATGATCTTTAGTTTTTCCTGAGGGATTTCTATACTCCAAGAATGATGTCCTTACATCTCACAGGAGTGGTTTATAAAGGCAGTCCTCTGAGCCATATATATATTACATATATAATTTATTTGAAGATAAGTTCCCTGTGTACAAAAAAATTAACTGAACAGAGATTTAGGAGGCATCTAGGTTTCTTTTGATGCACTTCAATTCTTTTGGAGAAAAGTACTATGGAAACCAATAATTCACTTCAAATTTGCCATGGAAGTGATGGCAAACTATACAGTGGCATTCAAATTAAGCAACATATTGTGTGACATGGACAATTATTGGTACAGAAGTTCAGAGCAAAGGAACAATTCCTCTCAAAGGGACAGCACTGCAAATATTTATTGAGTACTATGTATATTATAGTTTTTCTCAGTGTCGTCCATGAATCATTTTATTTATTGTCACAATGGCTTTATGAGATGGGTACTACTGCTCTATCCATTTAATACAAGAGAAAACTGAAGCTCAAAGAGGTTAAGTGACCGGGGGTATAAGTAAGTGGTAGAGCTAAAGTCAACGCCAGATCTATCAAAAATATTTCTATGTACCATCTTGAAACTGGAGCTTCTAGCTTGGATGATCACTGAAAGCATTGCTGTCTGTCTCATCTTGACCAAGCCAGGGCCAGTGTAGAAAATGTGTTAATATATTGTGTACCTGTAACGTTTGAAACTACCAAATACTTAGCTACACTAAACATTAGATTTTAGGTTAGCTGCTCTTTATTTTTAAATATACTATTTAAAATTCGCACTTTCCCCAAAAGGAATGGTTGGTCTTGTGAAGGAAATAATGAAGTAAAATATTTTATAACACAAAGTTCAAAACCACAGAATAGAGAATAAGTGAACACAGAATAATCCTCTTAGAACACTAAGAGACTTCATCAACAACTTACTCAAGAGAGGAGTAAAGAAAGTCTGAGAAAAGTTGAACAACTTACTACAAAGACACACAGCATGATTTACAGCTAACATCAGAAACTAAGGTCTTTTCATTTCAATTTTTTTGCTATGAATGTGGTCACTGATTTAGTAAAAAGGCAAAATTGTTCATTCTGTATCGAACTGAGTGCCATAAATTGTGTCTTCTTTTATTAGGTGCTTTTAGACTCTCCCAAATTTTAACAAATTCATAGGGAAAACTAAGAAATGTATCAAGTCCTTCAGGTTATTCAGAAGCAAGTGTCCATCAATAAGCTACAATATGTATATTGCAAAAGAAAATAGTCTCCATTCAAACCTTCCTTGAATTATGATACATGGTCTTCCAACTTCTATTTATACACACATTTGATATTAAAGGTTTTGGCTTCATTTAGAGAAGACACCAAAGGATCAAGCTTTCATTATTAAAAAGAATGATTCTACGTTTATAGATACCAACATGGAATAAGGAGTATCAGAACAAGAGACAATTTTCCTCTTTTACATTTAAAGCTGGCCACTAGCACCAAAATGAAACACACTTAGGACATTACTCTTAGAAAAAAATAAATAAATAAATAAACTAGACTATCCAGTCAGTAGCATGTATTTAAAAAATTTTTTTCTTTCTCTTTTCTGTGTATTTTAATTATGGAAGCAGCTTTATAGCCATCACCAATTTTTTGCTACTAGCTAGCATATCCATATTTCTCAAACAAGATCCCTTGTAATTAAACAAAGTATCTATAACACATGATGTCAATTATACTGGTGGCGTGAAGGTACCTAGTTTTATGAAAGCTATGCAATTTGAGCATCATAGTTTATATAATGAATATCCTATCCTGAAAGTTAAGTTTTGGACTGATTGGTAAGAAACAATTTTAGTCATAACTCATTTTTAAAAAATTAATTTTAATATCATTTTTCTTTATTACATATATGCTTGTATATGTAAATATCTTACACATAACGAGTCTACTATTTGTCTATTTTGTCTCTCTTGCACATCTTCCCATTAATGCTAGTTTTCCTAAGGTATGCTTTGCCTCTTGTTTTTTAATATTGACCCAAATAAATTAACGTGTGTGAACTTCTTTGTCAGTCAAGGTCTTACAATACATTCTAAACATGAGTTCTCACTGCACATTACTACAAATAACAATATGGAAAGACTTAGAGTGCTGTATGGCATTCTTACTACCCCCAGGACTTTACTCTGAAAATATTTTGCTTGTCGTTGTTTCCTAAAAGTAAAGTGGAGAGAAAAATGTCTTTACGATCAGAGGGTTTAGATATTTGAGTTTAGTTTTTGAGTCCATGGAGAAAAGGTGAACTTTTCCTCTCCCTCTTTGTACCCCCCCCACCCCTACGAGCACACAGGCACACACCACACAACAGACGACCCTCTTCTCTCATAATGCTCATGGTGTTTTGCAAATGATAATGCATCATTGGAAAATTAATACTACAATTATAGAACTAGCAGTTAATTAAGAATATTTTTTAAATTACAAAAATTTAATTTTATTTAATCTTTGGGGATATTAGGTAAACATTGATTAGCCTTGGTATGTAAAACAAGGCATACCTCTGTTTCTAGTAATTTTTGCATGCTACTTTTTATTTTAAATATTTTGTCTTATGTTTTTATTTAGATATATTAACTTTTACATATTCTACTTTTTGACTCCTTTTTCTGATCTAAAAATGGTGGCCAAAGCATGAGACAAGCATTCTCCAGAAATTAAATGTTCAGATTACCCTCTGTCTCCCTCTCTGATGAATTGATAAATGAGCATCCAGTCAGAGACATCACACGAACACAATTTCCCAGTCAATCTATCCAGACAGACATGGCTTAGATACAGAGAGCCAAATCCAAGCTCGGCATTCCAATCTCAACCACATGTTTGCAGAACATTGGAAATGCTGGTCCTTCTTTTTGAGTCATTAGGCATGAACGAATATATTTTGACAAGGGGAATACCACTTTTTGGAAGAACAACAATGGAATTTGGGTTTTTCAGATTGAAGTGATGAAGTATGTGGATTATTCAGGTTGCTGAGCTTTAAAGCATGGCTGAAGACTTGAGATTCTCATGCAATTACAAGATTAAAGTGATATAAATTGGCACTCACAGTTGTGACAGGTGGCCCCGCTGTATCCCGTCTCATCACAAGTGCATTTGAAGCTGTCCCATGTTTGTGAGCACTTCCCACCATGCTCACAATGATTGGGCACACATCTGTCAGAGAAAAAGACAAACAGAAATAAACCAACAAACAAATGAGATTTATGAGTGGCCAAATTCCAAGCTGTCTGGGCAATATATCATTTCAATGCCAGGTTACTTAACCAAGGCAATTAATCCTTGTTAGTTTAAACAGATTAATGTGATTCATGATGGAAGGTGCCAAGCGCAACAAAGATGATGTATCACAGGCCTAGTGCTTCCTGGTTTTGAGTAAACAGTAGACAGTAACAAACAGTTGAGGGATTCATTTGCATTGCACAAATTCATATATATTTTTAAATCCCAAAACAAAGACACTAGCTAAGTTCCCTCCTGGTGAGAAGTAGAAGATACGCTGTCTTGTTTCCTGTTTTATTTTGTTCTTTTTAAAGGCCAATACCAAGTTAAAGAGGGGTAACACTGAATTTTTCATAGCAAATGGAGTTTTTGAAATAATGCCATGACAACAGCAGTGAAAATACACTAACCCAATAAGAAAGAATTTTTAAGTCTTTCACACACATCCTCCAGTGTCCCCTGCACAATTAAAGCAGCCTACTTAAAGAGGCAGCAAGTATAATATAGGGAGAAAAATACGAATTGTGTGTTCAAATCTGTCTTTCTATTTATTAGATAACCAATTGTGACTGCTTAATGAAAGTTTTCTGAATCTCAATTTTTTTTTTGAAAAATAGGATCATTCTATCAATACTACAAATAATTCCAAGGTTTGGAAATAACATTTGTGAAGTAGATAATTAATAGGCAAGAAATAGTCGGCCAATAATTGGAAGCTGTAAGTATCTAGACCACAGCTTCCAGGGCACAGCTTGACTGTATCTTAGCTATTGTGAAGTTGAAATTTGTTCTGGAACATTCCTGTTTCAATGGCACAAATGCTTTCCTTTCTCTCAGGCCTATCCCCTTTATCTCCCATCAGTTTCTCTCCCTACAAGCTGATTCTTTATCATCCTGGCTGAGATGTTCACAGATAACAAACGTATTATGTACTAGCATTCACATAGGATGTCTAGATTTTGGTAGGAAACTCTCAAAAAGAAGAATCACTGTAGATTATAAAATCGTGGAATCTATAATAATGGGTCACAGGCAATGGACAGATAGATCTACCTGCCCAAAACCCCTTAATCATAATGTAGCTTCCTGATACAAAATCTGATAGAATTGGTCTCAGAAATACTATTCTCCTACTCCTTTCTTGATTTACCATTAGCCATGCCTAAAAGCACTTTTAGCTGGACTTGATTAAGTTTGGCATGGAGCTCCCTGGTTCCATGTAGCTGTGCTGTTCTACCTCAACTCTTTACAAACCTTTACTCCTGCAACAAACATTTACTGGACACTTGCTGTATGCATAGTACTATTTAAAATAGATGAATAAAATTGTATTCATAGCCTTAGGAGAGCTTACACTTTATGGAAGTAGATGCGTTATGCTTGAAAACTATAATGTAAGAGTACTATAAGATAAGGCAGAAATGAAAAATGGCATAATGCAGGGACAAATTAAGTACTATGTAATTTCACTTGAAGGATCATATGTAGGTTTTGCGCACAATTAAGAGCTTTTAGGTTGAGCCCCAATGGATGCACATGACAATAAGAGAAGAGAACGAAAGGAAGAATATTATTGGGGGAAAGTACGATATAAAAAATTTATGATGCTAAATTATAATATGGTACTGAAAACTCATTCTAAATTTATTGAACATCTACTTTTCATAGAATTGGGGCTTGGTATTATTAAGGCTATAAAGATGATCTATCTCCAAAAATTTTGTAATCAAGTTGGAGGCAGTGGTGGGGGATAAGAGTCATGCAAAAATATGAAACCAGGAAGATTTGTTGAGTCCTTCCTAATAGAGACTCAAAATGCTACTGAAATTTGGAGATAGAGGAGATATGAGTGGGTAATAAATAAAGGACTTAATAAAGTTTGAAACATTTCCCCTGAGTCTTAAAAGACAAATTGCATGTTTATGATTAAAATGTTGAAAATTGTTCCTGGTAGAGTGAGTGAGAAGAGAAACGACATGGAGGTGGAACAGTAGGCAGTAGGTAGTCCAGAATTGTTAGAAACCATTCCCAGGGTTACTAGGTATACAGAACCTGAGGTATAGGCAACAACAAAAGGCGTTTTTGTTCAGAGCAAGCCTGATTCTCCATATCATGGAAGAAAGAAATGAGCAGGACACTCCACAATTACATGAAACTAAAACATCCTTGATATTTGATTTTGGAATTCAGTGTGTATATGCTTTTGTGTGGTGTATTTACTTTCTAAATTATTGTGGGTTAATATTAGCTAAGCCTAATATTGAAAGTAATTTACATCAGCTCATTATATCAATTAATTCAGTAGTAAGTAGTGCAGAAGTATATTGATTTGCAAAGGAAAACTAGGTTGGAATCCAAATGCACAAAGTAGAAAATTCACATCTCAGTGATAGAAAAGATTACTGTGTACTTATACACACACACACAACACAACACATATAAACATCAAGTGAGATTAACTGAATACAGTCATCCCTCAGTGTCTTTGAGGAATTGTTCCAGAACCGTCCTGCAGATACCAAATTCCACATATGCTCAAATCCATCATATAAATGGCATAGTATTTGCACATAACCTGAGCATACTTACTTTTTTTTACTCTAAATCGTCTCTAGATTACTTAGAATTTTTTACTGCTGCATTATCATTTTTCATTCCTTTTTTCTAAGTATTTTCTATCTGTGGTTGGCTGAATCCATGGATGTAAAACCCACAGATATGAAGGACCAATTGTACTTCTAAAATTTAGTATTAGAAATTTCTTTAAAGATGGCTCTTTATTTGATTGGATTTTTAGCATTTTACTTTCAATGTTTGTCTCTCGTAATTTATGTTTTTAAAATTGACGTTTTCCTTATATTGATTATTGACATTCTAATTCTTAATGGTGCGGCATATTTTATTTCCTAAATAACTTGATTCAAATATAATTTCAAACCCTAACATCTTACCACCATATATTTATTTTTAAGTTAGAACCAGTTACCAAGCAAAACAAAATATACAATAACCTATCTACACACTCCTTAAATATTGATTTCTTCTATATTCCCATAGAACCATTTACATATGTCCGATATATTATTATTACATTGCTTAATAATTACTTGCTGGAGCATCTGTATCATCTAAACTGAGCCTCTGAGAGTTAGGAGATTGTATGTTTTGATTCACTGACTGAAGGAATAGATGAATGCAATGCTAGAAAGGAACACCACCAAAAACTTGAAGTAATCCCAGAGAAATCTCTTTTTTACTGTAAAAAATATAGATTACTTTTATCTATGACTTTGGCCATAACTTCAGACTTTTGGTCTAATAAACATTCTTTTAGTAGGCCACAGGAAATGTGTAATTTGTTTCAAAGTATGTCCTAGCTTGAAAGTTTTATTCACATGAAAAATGAATCAAAATGACTTGACTGCTTCTACTTGAGAACGACTTGACCAGGATCAGGGACATACAGGGGAGAAATTGTCAGGTGTCAATTTGTTGTGATCAAAGGATTCCATGAGAGGTGATACATCCAATTAGCTCTGGCTCCAGATAGCCCAGCTTGTCTCTTTCAGTTGGAATCATACTTTATAATGGCATTTCAACATGCTTTAAATAAAAATGCATTTTATTCTAATGAAATTTATTTAAATTCCAATACATAAGACAAACAAAAACTATATTTTAAAAGTTCAAATGTGAACAATGACAATATAAAATGAATCAACATGGACAGAGTGGCTGTTTGGATGAATTTGACACTTTAATCCAGGTTATAGATGACAGTTGCAGTTTTATTTTAGCCACTGTATCTCTTTCAGTTTCAAACTTGATTTTAATTGCAAAACATTGAGAAGTTTCAGATTCACGAATGTAAGAAACTGCAAATAGTATCATATATATTTGTTTGCAGTAGCTCACTTTTTCAGTTTACGAACACTACTTAATTAAACAGGGATAGTGGAAGAAATTTTATTTCCAATCTAAAAAGTGTTAGCCTTAAAATTATGCAAAAATGTATAGTTACATGATATATTTTAAGTGGTTATGGAGAAGAGGAACTCATGATGAAATATATAAAAGTTGTGGCATTACATGGTATTTTAGTATCTAAAATACATGTATTCAACAGTCTTCTGTATTTTGGGAATAGAGAATACACAAAAGTATATTTCTAGAATATACATATCATTCAGAAAATCAATTCCACCTTTTATTTTCTCTAGAAATTATTCACTGAATAATCTTAAAATCATTGCCTCACTAATAAATCAATCTTTACTATAAAAAAAGTTAGCCTGGCGGTGTACCTAAATGCATTGATAATTTTCAAAGCATTTGGAGGAGTTTTTCTTTTTTTCACCTATAGTGTTAAACATTTAAATATATACTTATGTATAAAAATTAAAATTGTTTTACATATAAATATTTTATATACACATGCATATTTATATGTAAATATTATTATTCTATACTATATAACATTATTTATATAGATATTTATATATAAAATATATATTCACATCAAATCTTTGTGTTACTTTTTTTTTTATTTGAGTTGGAGTCTCACTCTGTCACCCAGACTGGAGTGCAGTGGCCGCTCCCGGCCACCACAGCCTCGACCTGCTGGGCTCCGGCGATCCTTCCGCCTCAGCCTTCTGAGTAGCCAGAATTACAGGCATGCGCTACCACGCCTGGCTGATTTTTTTTTTATTTGTTGTACAGATGAGGTCTCGCTGCCCAGACAGGTCTCGAACCCGTGGGCTCAGGTAATTCGCTCACCTCAGCCTCCCAAAGGCGCGGGATTACAGGCTGAGCCACCAAGCCCGGCTGTGTTACTTTTAAAACTACATTTGGTTCTGTAGAATCCAATATAAAACCCATAATCACAGCACTATGACTCCAGAAATCCACATGGAAATAATGTGGTACCACTTGGC